TCTCAGCACTCAAGCAATCTGTAGCATTACTTAACACAGTTATTTTTAATATTTCTGTGGCATTTTTGTAATGGACCCCATAGAATCAACTTAAAACAAGTGTAAGCAAAACCTTTGATCCTTGGAGAAGACGATTTGATGCAAGAAGTTTTTTCTTGCTGGACATGGTGGATCACACCTGTAATCCCAGCACTTTGGGAGGCCAAGGCAGGTGGATCACCTGAGGTCAGGAGTTTGAGACCAGCCTGACCAACATGATAAAACCCCATCTCTACTAAAAATACAAAATTAACTGGGCTGGGTGTGGTGGCGTGCACCTATAAACCTGGCTACTTGGGAGGCCGAGACAGGAGAATTGCTTGCACCGGGGAGGTAGAGGTTGTAGTGAGCTGAGATTGCGCCATTTCACTTGAGCCTGGGCAACAAGAGTGAAACGCCATCAAAAAAAAAAAAAAAAAAAAACCCCACCTAAATAAATGTGAAGACATCCTGTTTTCATGGACTGGAAGACTTAGTATTGTTTTGTTTTTTGCATTTTTTGGTGTTTTTTCATTTTTAGTAGAGACGAGGTCTCACTAAGTTGCCCAGGCTGTTCTCAAACTCCCAAGTTCACATGATCTTCCCAAAGAGCTTAGATTACAGACATGAGCTACCACGTCCAGCCAAAGACTTAGTATCAGCGTGACCATTTCTGTAAAAAAGGCAGTTGGAATACATCTGTAGATCAGTTTGGGGAGTGCTGCCATCTAACACTAAGTCTTAGTAACTTGTACTGTGTGGTACAATGAAATATTAATGAAAAAAAGGGATGAAGTTCTGTTACATGCTACAACATGGATGAACTTTGGAAATGTTATGCTAAGGGAAAACAGTCACAAATAATCACATTTTGTAATTCCATTTATGTGAAACTCACAGTATAAGAAAATCTGTAGAGACAAAGTAGATTAGTGGTTGCCAGGGAATGGAGAGAGGAGGAATTCAGGCTAACCTCCAAGAAAATATTTAAAAAATTTTTTAGCAGCCAGGCATGGTGGTGTATGCATCTCTTTGGGAGACTGAGGCAAGGAGGATTGTTTGAGCCCCAGAAGTTTGAGTCCAGCCTGGGCAACGTAGTGAGACTCTCTCTTTCTCTCTCTTTTTTTTTTTAAAGTTTCTTTAAAAATAAAGACTGTAAGGCCAGGCAAGGTGGCTCACATCTATAATCCTAACATTTTGGGAGGGTGAGGTGGAAGGATTGCTTGAGGCCAGGGATTTGAGACTAGCCTGTGCAATATAGCAAGACCCCATCTCTACAAAACATGGAAAAATTAGGGTGTTGGTCCATGCCTGTAGTCCTAGCCACTTAGGAGGCTGAGACAGGGCTCTGGTGTTCAAGTTACAGTGGGCTATGAATATGCCACTGCACTCCAGCCTGGACAAGAGTGAGGCTAGACTATCTCTCAAAAAACCAAAAACTAGTTTATAAATATGTTTATTTAATAATTATCTTCCTTTTTCCAGTAAATATGTTTCTCTTTTGTAAATAGACCAGCAGAAGTAGATACTGTGGATGCGTTCCAGGGTCGGCAGAAGGATTGTGTTATTGTTACGTGTGTCAGAGCAAATAGCGTGCAAGGTTCAATTGGGTGAGTTACTGTCATTGTTGCTCTTTTTTATACATTGTTGCTTGTTTATAATTCAGGATTAGGTTCATTATCACTGTTAGAGAACACCATTTGCTTTCTTAATTTTCTTTTGTGAAAACCTGTGTAATATTATGAAAGTTTCTCTTTTAAGTTGTGAAATAGACCCACTGTTAGATCTTGGTGCAGTCTTGGCCCACTGCAACCTCCACCTCCTGGCTTCAAGCAATTCTTCTGCATCAGCCCCCCAAGTAGCTGGGACTACAGGCATGTGCCACCACGCCCAGCTGATTTTTGTATTTTTCTGTAGAGACGGGGTTTCGCCATGTTGCCCAGGCTGCTCTCAAACTCCTAAGCTCCAGTGCTCCACCCGTTTCGGCCTCCCAAAATGCTGGGGTTATAGGCCTGAGCCACCGTGCCTGGTTTTGGTGTCTTTTATATTAACCCATTTCATAGTGTGAATCTGTTCTTTTATTTAATAAGATTCAAATAGACAATTAGATTAAGTATACTTTGCAGAGGCATGTTACTCTCCATGGTATGTGTCAAAGTGTCATTGTTTTTTGTGTTTTCCTGCTTTGGCTAAGTTTGTTAACCTTAACTACTGTCAGTGTATTTAAGATGCTAAGGACAATCTGTATGAGTGACAGAATATTCCCCCAAGCGCAAGACTCTTACATAATTATTTGTTCTTCGTCATGAGAAGCAGATAGAATTTACAGGTTATAAATTAGTTTGTTTTCAAATAAAATAGTAATTAAAGTAATCTTCGCCTCTCCCTGGGATGGGCTGCATATACAGAGACCAGTTATATCTCAGGGTCAGTTTATAAATAGTCCTTTCTCTCCCAGCTAATTTGAAATTTCACTTTTGTCGTACATCAATTCTATTTCTGAGCTCTTTTTCTCAGCTGTTGAAGTATTTATCTGCTATTCATGTATTTCTACACTAGTTCTACAATATCTTAACAACCTGGATATATTTAAATGTAAGAATAAAGTGAATGGGCTGGTACCACATTTTTAGGATTTTTTAAGTCTTCAAGATTGCACTGTTAAAATTTCCAATTATCTCATCCAGGTAAAAATAGGAAATTGATAGATACATCACTTTGAAGGAAGCCCTGAGGTTTTGGTTTGTTTACTGTTTTTAATAGGAATTCTTCTGTGCCCGGTACCCTGTATTGGGACAGAGAGTAAGAAAGCACTGTGACTTCTAGAGGAGTGGAGGAATCCCGGAAAAGCTGCCTGCAGTCCACCTGTGTCTCACATGGGCATGCTGAGTCATTCCTAGAGTCCACCTGTGTGTCACACGTTCATGCTGAGTCATTCTAGAGTCCAACCTGTGTCTCACACGGGCACACCGAGTCATTCTAGTCTACCTGTGTCTCTCATGGGCACGCTGAGCCATTCTAGAGTCCATCTGTGTCTCACATGCGGATGCTGAGTCATTCTAGAGTCCGTCTGTGTCTTGGGCATGCTGAGTCATTCTAGAGTCCACTTTGTGTCTCACACGTTCACGCTGAGTCATTCTAGAGTCCACCTGTGTCTCGGGCACGCTGAGTTATTCTAGAGTCCACATTGTGTCTCACACGGGCACGCCAAGTCATTCTAGAGTCCTCCTGTGTCTCGGGCACACTAAGTCATTGTAGAGTCCACCTGTGTCTCACACAGGTGTGTTCAATCATTCTAGACAAAGAAGGAACTCTTTTTTTATTGCCTAGATTCCTGGCAAGTTTGCAGAGATTGAATGTCACCATCACACGAGCCAAGTACAGCCTCTTCATTCTCGGACATTTGAGGACCCTGATGGTAGGTACCAGAGAGCTCAGAAATTTACCCGTTGTTACTATTGTTTGTTTGAGTTTTTGTTCTTATTTTCCATCAAACTGTAAATGATTTCTGGATTACAAAATAATGGTTGTTATGTTTTCCAGCAACTTCTTCCTAGGAGCTTTTGTGTACACGTGAACCATTCGCCTTTTTTCAGCCCAGAACCCAAGTATCTACACTGGGCTCTCAAGGTGACCATTTTAAAACAAATTATCCACATCATAGGATTATTGTTAAGAAGGTATATTAAATCCACAATTGTAAAGTGCCATAGCGATTACTTGGCACTTAGTAAACACTCAGTAAATGTGACTGTTTATTGGCCCAGCTGAATGCCAGAGAGAGTTTGCAGGCGCGTACTCTGCTCTGCTTTTCTGCTGGCACTGGGAGCCGTGCTGCTCACTCTGTTTCTCCAGCACTTAGCGCCTCCGGCATTCTTCTGCCAGGACCGGCGCCCCTCTGGAAGAGGTGTACGAGTTTCCAACTTTAGTAGACAAATGGTACAACTTAATTCACTGATACCACAGCTAGATGTCTCACGTATTTGCTGTTTGTCTCATTAGGGGTAATAACTTTGTAGGTTTTCTCATTTCTCTTTTTATAAAGTCATTGATTTCATCTAAGAAGAGCCAACTTGGTGGCTGTTTCCCCTGGTTTTGGTTCCTGCCACCAGGTGGCGCTCAGATACACCTTTCTCGTTTCACTCTTCTCTATCACTCCCGCCTTTGTCGTTTGTATGCCTACTCTGAAGGAAGTTTTAAAAGCTGTGTACCTTTTATTTTTATGTACCTCCCATTTTTAAGTTGATAGAAAAAATCTTTGTACGTTTAAATATTACTGAAGATTATGTTTCTGATGTATTATCAATATTGACATTTTAAAATACAGCAATTAAAACTATTACATCGCTCTTAAATATATTCAGTGGAATAAAAAGCAATATTATTTTATTTTTTCCTCTCTTTGAAATTGTACTTCTATTCCTACTTGTTTGGGATAAGATTCACTGGGGTAATCTCTTTTTAGAATTAAAACCTTTATATTAATCTCACTGAGCTACATCTCTCTCATGATAATTTCTGTATAACTTGAAAGTTTAAAAAGTTGTATTCCACCCCCCCCTTTTTTTTTTGGATACAGAGTCTCACTCTGTCACCTTGGCTGGAGTGCAGGGGTGCAATTACAGCTCACTGCAGCCTCCGCTTCCTGGATTTAAGCTATTCTCCCTCCTCAGCCTCCTGAGTAGCTGAGACTACAGGCGCATGTACCACCACACCCTGATAATTTTTTGTGCTTTTAGTAGAGACAGGGTCTTACCATGTTGTCCAGGCTGGTCTCAAACTCCTGGGCTCAAGTCATCCCACCTTGGCCTAAAAAGTTGATTTTTATAACTACTTGGGGAACCCATGTGAAGGGTGCATGCAACCTCTCAGTGCTTTCTTTGCAACTTCCTGTAAATCTATAGTTATCTCAAAATATAGGTTTGGATTTTTAAAAATTGCTTTTCCTGTGACCATAAGGATCTGAGTGTTAAAACATGATCTCTTGTCAGTTGAATAGCCTGTTAACACTTATTTGTACAGTTGAGCAAAACAAGACAAATATTTTTAATATTACAGATTTTGATCATGTTTAAACCTGAAAAGTAAATGAAATGTTACTAAAGATACATCTTTTAGTGATGCCTTGATTAAAGGAGCTTCATGGGCACTACTGTTTTTCATCCTCCCTTTATTTGGCAACTCAGGGTGTTGATGTGTCTTGGCAGTGCACTCTGTGGATGGATGAGGCCCATCGTGATTATGAAGGGTGCGGTGCAGCAGGCAGGGCAGGCCAAGGAGGACATGGGAAGCTGGGGCTTGGAAGTTTATTCCGTAACCCTTTTTCACGTTCCATTTAGACAGTATTTGGGAGCCCTTGGGTCACACACCCTTCCACAACTGTACAGACCACTGACCTCCAGCTAATGGCACCGACATTGTCTTCACTCTAGGAAGGCAGTGCTACAAAAAGAGACAGACTAGAATCTAAAAATTCCCAATTTGTCAGCTGGGCTTTCTAACTTTTTTTGTCCTTGGGCTTTTTCTTTGTTGTTTTGGGAATTTGTTTGTTTTTGTTTTTAATTTTTTAGCCTAGTTCCCCTTCTGGAAATGGGATCAATCATTAAAGCGTTTGATTTCCTCTGTAAAACCAAAGCTAATTGTGCCTGCTCAGAACTGTTTTTGTAATCTTAGGAATGGATTAAACACCAACTTTAGGTGTGGTAAACTTAGCAAAAATAGCAAGGCCATCTGCTTCACATATGTGTTTGAGCCACAGGCTAAGGATCTCTAGAGATCTGAGTGAGAAAGAGAACTGAGCCACAGAGCCTGGCACTCCCTCCACAGACCTGTCTGGAATATGCCAGCCACCGTGCCAAGCATTTTATTCTGGTCACATGACTTTCTCCAAACCTTAAAAAACTACTGTGAAGTCAGTTTATTACCATAGTTTATCAAATTCAACAAACCATTCATTATAATATGCACCACCACTATTTTATGTACCATTATTAGACTATGATACAGTGCTTTATTTTCACTTAGAACTTTCATATTTATTGAAAGGACTCTTTTAAGACTTGAGACAGATTTTTATCACATTCTTATGCATACATAAAAGAGAAAATACAAGTAAAATAATAGGTTAAGATATTCCTAAAATTATTTCACTTTCAGAATCTAGCACAAATGAATCACTTCCCAGTCCATAGTCACCAGTGTTGCCGTTCATCCTCAGTGCAGTAGTAAGATTGGCAATTTAGCGTTTGCTAAGAGTTTCACCATTGTCTCCAGGATTTTCTTAGAACCCTTGATCTCCAGTGTATAAAGTTTTTTTGGTTTTTTTTTTTTTGAGACAGAGTCTCACCCTGTTGCCCAGGCTGGAGTGCAGTGGTGCAATCTCAGCTTACTGCAACCTGCGCCTCCTGGGTTCAGGTGATTCCCGTGCCTCAGCCTCTCAAGTAGCTGGGATTACAGGTGTGTGCCACCACACTTGGCTCATTTTGGTATTTTTAGTAGAGACGGGGTTTCACCATGTTGCCCAGGCTGGTCTCGAACTCCTGACCTCAGGTGATCCGCCTGCCTTGGCCTCCCAGAGTGTTAGGATTACAGGCGTAAGTCACTGCACCCAGCCCAAGGCATAAGTTTTAATGCTGGTGTTTTCTTGTCTTATCAGAAAATGTCTGTAGAAAGTTTTCAGGCGAGATCTTTAAGTGGTTTATTGACTAAAAGTCTAAGGGTTATAATTGCCTCATCATGAAATCCCCAAGGACAGGTACATGGGCAAGAGGGTCCCCAAGGTCAGAAATGGTAAAATGTGAAAGCAATGTGCACTTCAGAATCCATTAAATAAAATATTACTCCTATTTTACAGATGAGGAAACAGGCTCAGAAAGGTCAAGTGACTTGACTAAGGTCACACAGCAAGTAAATACTGTGCAACCTCCCTGCTTCCCTAACATATCCTTAGGAATAGTACAGGAGCCCCCATGAGAGGGTAGCTATCCTTTTTCTTCCTCTCTTCTTTCTAAAGAGACCTGAGTTCTAGTGGTTGTAAAGCAGCAGCCTCCTCTGAGGAAACTGTCAGGAAGAGAGGAGAGATGGATGTGTTTGGCGACTTTCCCGAGATGGGATTTTATGTCTTAAGCTCCTTTAGGAAACAGGCAGAAAGTGAGATGATCTCTTGGAGATCTCAGTGATGAAGATGTTTTGGCCGTTTGGGGTTTGGGAGGCCTTTGGAAATCCAGTGAAAGCCGTGGGCCTTTTTCTGGAACAGTCACGTGCACTCAGAAGTTTGCTTTCTGAAACCAGACCTTCCTGTTTGGGAATGTTAGCCCTGCCAAGAGGTGTGGGCAGCACTCTAGATCACCAATGTCCAAAGGACCTTTCTGTCATCATGGAAATGTTTTGTGTCTGCACTGCTCAGTACAACAGCCATTAGTCACGTGTGACCGCTGTGTACTTCAAATGTGGCTGCTGCAATTTAGGAACAGAGTTTTATATTTTGTTTTATTTTAATTAATTGAAATAGAAATAGCAACATGATGCTCCTAGTGACTAGCGCAGACCTGCATTGCAGTTGAATGCACCGATAAAAATGGTTGAAGTTCAGCCTGGCGTGGTGGCTCACGCCTGTAATCCCAGCACTTTGGGAGGCTGAGGTGGGCGGATCATGAGGTCAGGAGATCGAGACCATCCTGGATAACACGGTGAAACCCCGTCTCTACTAAAAATACAAAAAATTAGCTGGGTGTGGTGACGGGCGCCTGTAGTCCCAGCTGCTTGGGAGCCTGAGGCAGGAGAATGGCGTGAACCTGGGAGGCGGAGCTTGCAGAGAGCCAGGATCGCACCACTGCAGTCCAGCCTGGCGACAGAGTGAGACTCCATCTCAAAAAAAAAAAAAAAAAAGTTGAAGTTCACCCTTATAGGCTGTGACCAGGTCTTTTCGTTTTCTTTAGGAATGGGACTTTATCATTTTGTATTCGAATTTATTTTTTCCTTTCATGCTTGTCTGATGAGTAATGAATCTTGAGAATCTGTTCATACAATAATATATATTATTTGTTCAGAAATGAAAGCTGGAACTCTATGCTTCCCAAGCAGTGTTTCTTTGGGGTGTAATTCTTTCTCCCTTCTCATTGTTTCAAGGAAAACCAGCATTGGAATCAGCTGATTCAGGATGCTCAGAAGCGTGGTGCCATTATTAAGACCTGTGACAAAAACTATAGACATGATGCAATGAAGATTCTGAAACTCAAGCCCGTGCTACAGAGAAGTCTCACTCACCCTCCTACCATAGCCCCAGAGGTATCCAGACCCCAGGGTGGCTTGCCCAGCAGCAAGCTAGACAGTGGATTTGCCAAGACATCTTTTGCTGCTTCTCTATACCACACACCCTCTGACTCCAAGGAAACTACTCTTACTGTTACTTCAAAGGACCCTGAAAGACCTCCTGTTCATGACCAACTTCGGGACCCACGACTGCTGAAGAGGATGGGCATTGAGGTCAAAGGAGGAATATTCCTATGGGATCCACAGCCCTCGAGCCCCCAGCATCCTGGAGCAACACCTCCTGCAGGAGAGCCGAGCTTCCCTGTCGTTCACCAGGACCTGGGCCATGTACAGCAGCCTGCTGCTGTAGTGGCTGCTCTGAGCAGCCACAAACCTCCCGTGCAGGGCGAACCTCCAGCTGCCAGTCCCGAGGCTTCCACGTGTCAGAGCAAATGTGATGACCCAGAAGAGGAGCTCTGTCACAGGAGAGAGGCCAGGGCTTTCAGTGAAGGCGAGCAGGAGAAGTGTGGTTCCGAGACCCCTCACACCAGGAGGAACTCTAGGTGGGACAAGAGGAGACCGGAGCAGGAGGACAGCAGTTCCAAGAAAAGAAAGCTTTTATAGGAAAGCCCAATGACATGGGCCAGCAGCCACAGCATATTGTAAACTGAAGATGACCAGCTCGGGGGACCATCTAGATAAGCTTATTTGTTTTTTGTAAGGAGCTTGTGTGCTGTTGGAAAACACGGAAAATGCATCCTTAACACCTGAGCCTCTGGTCATCTTCAGTACTTTCTGTCATTTGCAAAAGCTTTCAGAGGGCATTGTGTATCAGTAATAATGTCCTTGAAGTCAGAGACCGGAAATGTTGATCTCTTCCTCTTCTGTAGACAAGGAGGTCAGACTGGAGTGAATGTTGTAAAAGTTGAAATGTATATTTGTATAGCAAATAACAAAATCCTTTTAAAATTTAATCTAGTAGACCGCTTTTCTTTCCCCTGTTTAAAATGTTAATCATTTTTCAACAGAACAAACTTTATATTAAAAAAAAAAAAAGATGGGAGGAGGGCAGGTCCTTTCAACCATTGTTAGGGCAAGACAGATTTATTTAACAGCCTAGCTTGGAATAAGCTGAGTTAGTGCTGGTGTCCCTAGCTCTATTTAAAAAAAGCAACCCCCCCCCCCCCAAAAAAAAAAGCCTAGAGTCTCCTGGGGGACACTTTGGGCAGCAGAATTGTGTTAGGTAAAATCCTGCTGACATGGTGCATTTTTAGACACAGGCCCAGGGTATTCTATTTCTGGGATGAGTTCATTTACCTGTTTAGTATGCACATAGTTCCCTAGCTAAAATCCCTAATCTTCTTGAAAGAGAAGAATATGGAGTGAAAGAATAATTCTTGAACTATCATTTAAATGCTCCCAGCATATTGTGAGCTTTGTGTGACTGGTGAGGTACAGACATGTAGTTGCCAAATGCTAGATGAGCGCTGACTCAGCTGTGGAAGAATCACCTCAGCTTACAGATGTCAGACAGATGTAACTAGTTTTCCAGAAAGCCTGGGAAACTGTGTTCAACATTTCCCAAGGGACTCTGGTCACCAGGCAGCCTGGGAACCGCTGGGGCAGGCCAAATAGAATATTTTGGGCGGGAAAGAAGCACTCGGTTTAAAATGAAGGGTAACCAGAGGAGTTCAGAACTGGGAAGAGAGTGGCAGACTTCCTGTGATCTTCAGAAATCATCTACCTGTTGAAAACATGCTGTTTAGAATATCTGATAGGTGTTTCCAGTTACCGTTAGAGGTGATAGTGTTTTTGTGGGGGAAAAAAATTGGCCATGGTGAATGGAGATCGAGGAGGCTCGGGACAAGGGAGGGGCGGGCTGCCTGATTCTGTCCAGTTTTCCAAGCAGCCACACAGTGAATTGGAGGATCCTAAACATGAGAATGTCCAGCTGACAGTTGTAAAAACTAGGGGTCTGTAGTGAATGCGGTGCAGCCCCTACCGCATTTGGGGGTAGGAAAGTAGCTGAAGGTTCATGTGCATTATTTGACGTTTCCCTTGTCATTTTTAAGCAAAAAAGGATTTTGTGTTAGAAATTCTACTTGAGCAGATTATAAAGAGCTTTAAAAAACAACTTTTGCTTGCCAAAAGTTTGAACATTCAATTTCATTACCTGTGTCTCTCTTACTGGTGTCCGGACATCTGACTAACGTCGGCTGAAGACTCCTGAAACCCAGGCAGCAGGTGACCTCCTAGAGTGCTTTGTCCCCAGAGGCAGCTGCTGCTTCCTGTGTGGGGGCGGAGAGTTTGTCCTTGGCCATGCAGTGTGTGACAGTTCAGGACGGGGAGGGATGGGCCCCACTCTGTCTGGGTCAGGGGTTTTATCAGCCTCTTCCATGTGCCTTTGGGAAGAAATCTCGTTACTTTAAGTTTACTTTTCTGTTATCTTGATGAAGTGCCCATTTTAGCAGACACTTGTAGTGGTGACCACTTAGGGAACGTACAAACTCCTAAGCTTCCAAAGGGAGGCATGGCAAAAACAGTTGGGGTCAGGGTGTCTCCCACACTGCTCATGTTAATACTGTTAACACCTGATTGGAGAAAAGTTTTCTCTAAAATGCGTATTTTGCTGCCACACCAACAGTATTATTTCCAGTTAAGTTTGATGCCCGTTCACCTGTTGGTTCACCACTCACCAGATCTGATTCTGCAAGAATCAGTGGTAGAACTACGTCGTCCTTGCTAACAAGTGAGCCTGTGTCCTGTGACGGCCTTTCACAGCGGAATGCAGTTGTCCCTGACATTACTTTGGAAACTTCACTCGTTCTGGTTGGTACAGGTATTTGCCAAAGGCATTTCATGTGTTTGCTGTGGCCCCTCTTGATGTGGCTGTCAGCGCAGCGTTGTTGAACAGGGCTATTCTTTTTACAGGGTGTGAAGTGTGGCTCTTTGCTTTGTCTTTGCCATGGCATTAAAAGAAAGTTCCCTGTCTTCTTTGAATATTAGTTACTTCAACATGAATGTGTGCTACTTACAAACTTGTTTTGTTTCTTTCTATATAACTTGCCTTGGATTTGTTGTGCGCAGTTTGTTGAGTTGTATGTTTTTGTGAATTATCAGGAGTAAATTTGACAAGTATATGTGAATAACCTCCTGTAAATGAATTTTATAACAAAAATGTACTGAACTATTTTTTAAAGTTGTGCAGATTAGCAATTTTTTGCTATAGCTTTGACTTTTCTATGCTGTGAATTAATAGCTGGGATTTGGCAAACAGTAGCCCTGTTGTCTTTGTTAAACCCTAAATTTTAAGAGGAAATGGCAGAATTAAAAGCAGAAACAAGACGGACATGGATTAGAAGTTATGTATTACTGAAGTAAACTACAAGGTACTAACATCCGTGTCGTCTGCCATTTGGTTTGCTTTATGCTGAAATTACTTGGTGGGGATTTGTGTAATTCAGATACAAAAAGTTTTATTATCCAGCCCAGCCCTCCTTCCTCGCTTCTTTTGGACTCTTCTCTGTACAGTAATGAGGCGCGTTGAGGCCAGCTGTGCTGTTCAGTTACCGACTGAAGTTTGGTCCAGCAGAAATACGTGCTCATCATTAGGCTGGAATTGGGGTGGAGGTGAGATAGGAGGAACAGATGGACAGTGACCTATGAAAGGAGCTCCCAGGGGCACTGGTGGAGGGACAGGGTAGAATTGCCCTGGCCAGGGGTAATTGCTGATGGTTACAGAAGTGGAACACGCTTTATAAAACAATAACTTCAGGAAATGTAGTCAGCTTCCCCACACTTGTGCCTGTTAAAAGGCACTTGACCTCCGCCTCCGTGTCTCTTTCCGTACCCAGAAGCGTGTGCACACAGCCCTCTTGGCCAGCTTGGTTCATTCAGTATGCATACACAAATTACCAGGGAGGGTAAAATGGGGTGTTTGGGGCTTAGGGGGAATAATAAATTTGCCCAATGGCCAGGCGAGAGATGAGTGCTGCATGGTGGTCATCTGTGGAATTTGTTACTGCAGCAGCCTTAGCGACGGTTTTTGAAGTCACCAGACATCTCTCTCCTGACCCATCCGCCCCCACAATCGCCCCCACCTCCTGGGGTTCACCATTCATTGAGGAATAAATAATTCAAGGAGGAAACTAAAATTTAGTCTCGACTTAAATAGAATTGATAGTGTCGTACAGCACCACACAGGCAGTTTTTGTACACAGGGGATCCCTCCATGACTGAAAAGACCTGAGTTACCGTCACCCTGTCCTTCTGTACAGAAGGCATTTGTCAAGTCAAATGGCAGAAATGGCATTTGTAGTTTGGGTGTTTGAAACTGCGGGAGGAGGAACTCTGTTGCTGTCCTGTCAGCTCAGTAGACACGGCTGCCTTTGTTTTCAAGCAGCATTACAACAGAATTGTCAGATTGGTAGTTTTCAGCCTTGAGTTTTAACATTAGGGAGCACGTTAGGCTCACTTGGGGGACTTTTAAAAAACATTCTGATTGCCCGGGATCCATCCTAACGTGACTGATACTGTGGTTTGTGGATGCAGCCACTAACCGTATTTTTGTGGTGGTGTGTGTGTGTGTTGGTTTTTTTTTGGTTTTTTGAGACGGAGCTTTGCTCTGTCGCCCAGGCTGGAATGCAGTGGTGCAATCTCGGCTCACTGCCACCTCTGCCTTCTGGGTCCAAGTGATTCTTCTGCCTCAGCCTCCTGAGTAGCTGAGATTACAGGTTCCCACCACCACGCCCGGCTAATTGTATTTTTAGTAGAGACGGGGTTTCAGCATGTTGGCCAGGCTGGTCTTGAATTGCTGACCTCAGGTGATCCACCTGCCTCGGCCTCCCAAAGTGCTGGGATTACAGGCGTGAGCCTGCACGCCCAGCCCAGCCCTTGATTTTTTAACTTTCTTTTTTTTTTTAGTTTTTAAAAATTTTTGCTCATCTGATTGCAATTGCTTTTTTTTTTAAACTCAGGTTTTTAAAAATTCACTCCCAGATGATTCCGTTGAGCAGCCAGCATGGGAGCCTGGCTCCTTTGAGGTCAGGAGGAAAGAGAAGCTCCAGGAGCCCACAGAGGGTCATGTGTGCCTTCAGCAGCACCTCATCTCCGGGTACCCTGGACAAGGTGTTCAGAAGCGGGTTTCCAAAGACAGCAGAGCAGAGCCAAGAGAAGGAAAATGAAACAGCTCGGGTGACTCCTGACACCCCTGGAAGGGAGAAGGTAGAAGGCTCCCCAAGTCTAGGACGAGCCGGCATGAATCAGTGTGGCCAATGAGGTCTCAGGCCATCCGTCTTGGGGGTGTTCTCTGGCCCCCAGCAAAGGGATGCCAGAATAGCTGTTCTCTAAGCAAGAAAACACAGTGCCAGCGCTCTGAGTTCAAGGAACCCATGGTGCATGCAGTGAGTGCTTGTGGTCTGCAAGGCATCTGCGCCCCCTGCGTCATCTCTGAGTTCTCCCACGAAGCCCATGATGCCCACGCTAGCATTCCCATTGCACAGATTTTAAAACAGGGTTGCATCAATGAAATGGTTTGCTGAGGATGGTAAAGCTAAGAACTAGCAAAGCTGCCGTTGCAAACTCAGTTCTTATTACCCCAAAACCCTTGCTTATAATCATTACAGTAGGTACCTGAGCAAGACTGAATGCCAAGCTGGCCACACTGCTGCAGAAATAGGCCTTCAGGGGGTGTGACCTGGAAAGGAGGCTAGAGATTGCCTTAGCTCCACCATGGGCGTTGGCCGTGGGCCATTCACGGCCTTCGTGGGTTTCCCTTTCTTTGCCTGAACATAGTAGTTAGCGTTTGGGTTCTCTTCTGATTCTTTTCACCAATAACTTCCAAAATTCCAGGCCCTGACCTCTGAGGTTCTGGAAAGGGACAAGAAGAGTGTGGTGGGTATATAATTTGTCAATCTGAGCAGGCTCCATTTCTAGAACTCCTTTTATATTTCCCTTTAGACTGGGCCACAGGAGACACTATTTGTGAGATTTGGAAACCAGAAATGAAGCAGCAGCCCTATTCTCATGCTCAGGAAGTTGCCACAGGGACACCAGGCACTACTGTTGTAGCTCATGCGTGTTGTCATTTATCTGCAGGCTCGTTAGCATGGAGCAGCAGACAGGCCCGCAGCTAGGCCTCCTTACTGTCAAATGGGTGTCTGACTCTCCTTGCTGTCCTCACCTTATACCCTTTTCCCAACTGCCTGCCTGCAGACTCCCAGCTTCAGCACCAGAACTGTCCTATTGCCCTCCCTTTTTGATTTTATGATCATCATATGTGATATATCTACATGCGTTTATTCATAATATATATATTTTTTGTGCTTAACAGTCATACAAATTTTAAAGATTTTGAAAGGAAAAAAATCTATTTACCCAGCTATTTAACATGTCTGTAGATTTTCTCCTATTCCTGGTGTTCCAAGTTGCCTTCTGGAATCATTTCCCATCAGCTATTATTTATGTTAGAGGAAGTCTGCTGGCAATGATCCTCTTAGTTTTCCTTCATCTGAGAATGTTCTTTATGCCCCCTTGTCCAAAATATTCCTCGAGGAATATTTTGCTGGATATAGATTTCTGGGTTGACAGTGCTTTCCTTTAAAGGTGATGTTCCCTGTCTTCTGTCCCCACCATTCCTGATGAAAAAACTAGTCAAATAATTATTCCCTTCTGCTGTGGACTGTTTGCATTTGCCCAAAATTCCTATGTTCAAAGTTAATCCCCAATATGCAATAGTAGTGAAGGTGGGACTCAGCATATTCTGTCTGTTTTAAACCAGCTCCTACAACTGCTGTGTCCCCAATGGGGACTCTGTAGGGGGGCTCCAATCCCACGTTTCCCCTCCACACTACCCTAGTAGAGATTCTCTGTGGGGGCTCTGCCCCTGTAGCAGGCTTCTGCCCGGACACCCAGGCTTTTCCATACAAGCTCTGAAACCTAGGTGGAGGGTGCCCAAGCCTCCTTAACCCTTGCACTCTGTATTCCTACAGGCTTAATTAACATCACGTGGAAGGCATTTAGGCTTACTGTGGCTTGTGCTCTGGCTTGTGTTTTTCAGGGTGGTGGCATGAGGCTGGGCATGGTGGCTCACACCTGTAATCCCAGCAGTTTGGGAGACTGAGGCAGGTGGATCACTTGAGAACAGCCTGACCAACATGGCAAAAACCCATCTCTACAAAAAATAGAAAAATTAGCCAGGCATGATGGCACATGCCTATAATTCCAGCTGCTTGGGAGGCTGAGGAATGCGAATCACTTGCACCCGGGAGGTGGAGGTTGCAGTGAGCCAAGATAACACCACTGCACTCCAGCCCAGGTGACAGAGCAAGACTCTGTCTAAAAAGAAAAAAAAAAAAAAGTAGTGGCATGAGCAGTATCTAGGGCCCTTTGAGCTGAGGCTGGAGCCAGAGCAGCCAGGATACAGGGAGTAGTATCCTGAGGCTGTGCAGAGCAGTAGGGCCCTGGCCCTCATCCACGAAACCATTCTTCCTTCCTAGGCCTCTGGTCCTGTGATGAGAAGGGCTGCCAGGAATGTCTCTGAAATGCCTTCAAGGCCTTTTTCGCACTGGCTTGGCTATTGGCACTTGGCTCCCTTTCAGTTATGCCAATTTCTCCAGAAAGCGGTTGCTCCACAGCGTGCTTCAGTTCCTTTCCCCAAAGAGCTTTCTCTTTCTCTGCCACGTGGCCAGCCAGAAATTTTCCACATTTTTACATCGAGCTTCCTGTTTGAATATAAATTTCAACTTTAAGTCATTTCTTTGCCCCTGCATCAAAGCATGGGCTGTTAGAAGCAGCCAAGCCACATCTCAAACACTTCGCTGCTTAGAAATTTTCTCTGCCAGATACCCTAGGTCATCATTCTCAAGGTCAAACTTCCCCAGAGACCTAGGGCATGGAGAGAATGCAGACAAGCTCCTTGCTAAGGCATAACATGCATGACCTTTGCTCCAGTTCCCAGTAAGTTCCTTATTTCCACCTGAGACCTTGGCAGCCTGGACTTCATTGTCTATATCACTATCAGCACTTTGGTTACAACCATTTAACTGGTCTCCAACAAGTTCCAAACTTTCCCTCATTTTCCTGTCTTCTTCTGAGCCCTCCAAACTTTTCCATCTCTGCCTGTTACCCAGTTCCAAAGTCACTTCCACATTTTCAGGTATCTTTATAGTAATATCCCACTGTTGGTACCAATTTTCTGTATTAGACCATTCTTGCTGCTCTACAGAAATACCTGAGATGGGGTAATTTATAAGGAAAAGAGTTTAATCATCTCATGGTTCTGCAGGCTGTAAAGGAAGCATAGGACTAACATCACTTGGCTTCTGGGAGGCCTCAGGGAGCTTTTACTCATGGTGGTAGGTGAAACAGGAGCTTGCATGTCACATGGCAAAAGAAGGAGTG